CATGCATACATACATACATACATACATACATACATACATACATACATACATACATAGGTTAATTGACCACTCCCCATAGGGGCTTTTCAGGGCCAACACCCACCCATCCCACCCAGGGGAGGACATCCACCACACAGTAATCTCGTGCGTGGGAAATTAACGTCTCCTACCCCTAACCCTGCAGGAGACGGGGCCTACGGTTTATTCGTCCTTATCCGAGAAGACTAGAATATCTATCCATTTCTTGATTATAGAAAGGTAGCAAATTCTCCTCACTTATTTTAAGACCATGAGTATTGGTCCGGCCGGGGCTCGAACCCTCGACCTCCCGCACAACACAATTCGGCGCTCTAACCAATTGAGCTAACCGGGATATCTGTTGAAAGTATGCTCACAACCTAGTTTTTGATCCCTCGTTTCCTGTAATCATGCAGGAGATCTAGCTAGAAGGGTGAGCTACTTGGGAGTCAGAGCAACTTGGTAATATCAACTAAGTTGAAATTGTAAATTGGCCACCGTAAAGAGTTAAAAAGCTGACGTTTCGAGCGTTAGCCCTTCGTCGCTCTGACGAAGGGCTAACGCTCGAAACGTCAGCCTTTTAACTCTTTACGGTGGCCAATTTACAATTTCAACTTAGCTAATATTACCAAATTACCTTGTTACCCCCACCAACGCAGCATCACAGTTGCTTTAGAAACTTACCTCCTTTATACCTAGATCATCGAGTCGTTTTATCTCGCACAAATTGCTTAGAATAGAACCTCCTTAAAAGAGGGAATAATGCGGTTTCACTTTGGGTTTGCTCGACTTATCGTATTTACATCCACTTTTCCACTTAGAACCCACAGTGCTTGAGGTCTGTCGGTAATAAGTCACACTTCTGGTTTATTTACCTTGAAGCAACCTTCGGCATCAGTTTGTATATTGTAGGCTGTAAGCTACATGCAGTTCTACTATATGCATCCCCGTGAAGAGTGCCATGGGTAGTTATTTTTTGTTATGTCAAGTGTTCCCCTGCATTTATCGAGAGAAAATTTTACTTTTTTTTTATTCATAGAGAACTGATTTTCCTTTTTAATTTTTATTTTCACTTTATTTTTACTTTTTTAATTAATTATTTTCCTTTTAATTAATTATTTATTCAAACTGATTAGTTTTAATTTTTAATTAATTAATTATTTATTTTTTTAATTATTTTTTATTATTTTTCGGTCATTCCGGGAATTCCGGGTATTCCGGGTATTCCGAGTATTCCGCATTCCTTCCTTTCCAAACTACCGCTAAAAACTGATATGCAAGTCGTGTTGTGTAAATGGACGCCACGGGACAAATTTTTCAAATATTAGAATTTTCCGACATACTTTTTGGAATGACAACGAATAAACGCAAAATCGGCAGGGGAAAAAAATAGGAGAAACTTACCAAATTGCCTCTGCTTTACGGTAAGGCTAAGTGAAGACTCTCCAACATAACGACTACACTTTCACATTCGATGACGTCATGCCCCCCCCAGCAGATCGCTGTTCCCTTTGCGGTTTGTATTTTTGGTGGTTTCGGCGAGAGCCTTCACGTCATGCCACAAGCAAGCTCGACGACTGGCCACAACATCGGAATATTTGATGTAATGCTCAGTAATTTCATGTTCAGCTAGAGTGTCTGATGTTCTGCAAAGCTATCCGACGAAATGCTGCATCATTTGTGCGTACGCTGTACCATTCGACATGACGCTGAGCCATTTCACGCAACGGCACACTGTTTGTGTGTACGCTGTACCATTTTACATTACGTTGAGCCATTTAACGCAACGCTACACCGTTTGTGTGTACGCTGTGCTACTCGATATAACCTGAGTATCAGGCTCTCGGGGGAAAAATCAGGAGAGAGGGAAAGGAGGAGAGCCTTTCCCTTTCTCCCTTCCCCCCTCCCCTCCCCCCCCACCACCACTGTAGTTTATTACTTGAATACAGTTAACTCACACTATCATAATCCTCATTCATAAAAATTACCAGTACCCCATTACAATACTATCAATGACGTTCTTTTCTTTCCCTTTTGGTTCCGATGATCGCAGCAATAACAAGCACAATGAAAGTTCTCCATTATGTAATGAGCTGGCTCTCAGAGCCATAGCTTTTATTAGACTCGGGCTTTCCTACGGAAGCCCGAGTAAAAACTTTGGAAAAAGGAAAATACCTACGACGACGACAAAATGCCTCGGTTTAAAATACCAGCCCCTATCATTGTATTTTCAGCGTATTTCGCTGAATTTTAAACCTCGCACGCCTGAGCGTGTGTTGTCGACCGCATACTCTTTGACGTAGCATTCGTCGTTATTCAGCTCTGTCATTGCAAACATGGAGAATCTCTGTGGGTCGTAGTTTTTCGCACTTTCTGAGGAAATTTAAAATTTCTTAGGCCGAGACATACATTTTGTTGTTCTAGACTTTACTCACTTTGTGTTAGTTTACCCTCTCGAATTTTTATACACTTTGCCCGGCGGCGTGATGAAGTCGTCAGTATAATTTTGGCATGAGACAGATTACAAATATGTTTTGTTTATCAACTCAAACCCTTCTTTTTCAGTTCCTCGCATCCGTGATAGGAAAGGAAACGAGAAAGAGATCATCGAGGTGACTAGCGGGAAGGATGTGAAACTTACTTGCCGGATCAGAACCACTGACCAAAACTCAAAACCACGATATTACTGGCTCAAAGACAATCAGACGCTCACTCCATCGAGTCATCTACGCATGAGGTTAAAACCCCATAAATACCTAAAAATAAAAGATGCGAAGAAAGAGGACGCTGGCTTCTACACCTGTGTCGCGGTAAATGACTGTGGCAAGAATTCTTATACAATGCAGCTATTTGTCGGAAGTAAGTAGACATTTGCGAACCACCAAATACGCACGTGATTTCTACTGATATCCCGAGGATTTTTCCGGGGAAATTCCTCTTATACTTTAAGTGTGTTATAAAGGAGGTGATGTCAGTTTGCGTAGGAGTTGCTGAAGTAGGTTAATGAGGAGGGTAAAGTAGTAATTTTAAACTTGCCATCGAAAAAATTTCTTACCATCGTAGGTGCAAAGTTTTCTTTATCATTGCTATAAGCAATGAACTGAGAGAGCTTGCAGTCCAAAATACATGGTCAAAACGCGAATAGAAGATGCAGGTGGATGTCGTCACTGATAACTTGCAGTACGAATGAATTTTCCATCTAAAGAATTCCCTGTGATTTTTTCCTCAAGGTCCAACGATGGATGGATGGAGTTAAAGAGCGAACAGGTTATGCGCCAAATTGACGAACAAAATTGACTATTATCCGTCAACTCTCCTACTCAAAGCTGTATATTCAGTGCACGACTTTTGTCCCGACACCTGAATTTATTTAGATGCAGTCCAATTAAGAAACATTGTTCTTGGCGGTTAACTTATAGGAGCGGCCATTTATAAGGTCTGAAAAATTTGGTTTACCATTCCATGCATCAGGTCGAAAATAAAGCGAGACTACCCGCTTTCACCCACTTGATGATTGCATGAGAGATAGTTCAATGCACGGGCTGTCAATGTAACAAATTGAGTTTTCTCTAACAGTGGTTGTCATGTGCTTCACAGTTGCTCCAGAATTCACAGTTAAACAAAACAAGTTGAGGCGCAACCTTCTTGCAGTACCCGTTGGCAACTCTGTAAAGCTGGACTGCTCTGCCGATGGAAACCCTCGCCCTGCCGTAAAATGGTACAAAGACCGAAAGTTGTTTAAGGAAAGGAAAGGTGACAGAAAACTTTATTTGAGTCAATGGACAACCGTATTGGTTCTGAAGGATTTGATTCCCTCTGACACTGGGACGTACATGTGTAATGTGAGCAACTCTTACGGGTGGATTAATCATACATACCTAGTAGATGTTCATGGTAAGGACAAATCTAATGGTAAATGAATTCTTAGTTCTGTTTTTACCTTAGCTATTGAATGCTCTTTTATGTTTCCAAGATCCCATTTTCAGAACTAAGTCTTACATATCCGATCATTTCTCTTAAAAAAGGAAGACTCGGTCAATCATTCGCTTTGTGAATTTGCGGCTTAATTATTCAATCATCATGTCTCTCTCAGTCAGTCAGTTGTTAAATTAGCCCGTTAGTCTTGGTAACTTGGTTGGTACGTAATATAACCGTGAGTTCAGCTGGCGAATCACAGCAACAACTACTAGCTAAGACTACCCCTAAAATTTTCTCGATAAATTCACAAGTTTCAATTAATTAATTAATTAATTAGAAAAAGCATCATAACCCTACTATTTCTCAAAGCTAAAAATGTCGAAGAGTCGTAATAACTAGGAGAGACTTAGGGGCAAAAAGCGATGGCAAGGTTTGGTCAATATAGATCATTATCAGGTTCATGAGAGGGCATTAATACATTTAGTACAAACTATAATGTAAGACATACTGTAAATTGGGCCGGGAAAGGAGAGTCAGTTTTAATCTGCATAATGTTTGAATCATAGATCTTCAGGCGACCGAAAGCCTTTCAGGTAATCGGCATAATATTTGAATTCTAGAACTTTGGGCGACCGAAACTCTTTTAGGTAACATTACATTAGTGACCCAGTCAGCAGCCTCCGTAGTAACTTTCTTGTGTGCACTGTGCATATGTCCAATTTTGTAATGAACCCCGTGTTTCAGAACGAGCTCGTGCTGAACCCGTCCTTCTTCCCATGGAAAATGTCACGGTCTATCGAGGGGAAAATGCCAGCCTCACGTGCAAAGCATTAAGTGATTCCAAGCCTCATTTCCAGTGGTTAAGGTGGTTTCCCATGCATTCCAACGCTTCGACCAACAGTTCAACCAACGGTTCAATTGGAAGGCCACACTACGAAATCGTGGATAAAGACGAAACAGACCAACATGTAATTTCCTCATCACCTAGCGGCAAAAAGTTTGAATTCCACGGTGTGAAGTTGACTTTGGTAAATGTTACAAAGAAAGACGAAGGAAAATACACTTGCATCGTGGGAAATGCTTTTGGTTACGCGGTGGAACATGCTTACATCATTATTGAACAAAGCGGTAGATAACAATAATGAATCCACTAATTCTCCGAGTAGCTTAAAGTTCTCCTTTTCGAGGCTTTTTTTTAATTCTTTCTTTATGATAAAGTATTTTGTAGTTGTTATTGAAACTTGCGTTTGGTAACTCCTACGCTTCTTTCGTGCTTAGCAACCAACCGCCTGCATCCAAACTCATTTGTGTACGCTTTGGTGTTTATCATTTGTCAAGAAATACATCAAAAAGAAAAACATTTGGAAACTTGCTTAAGGTAAGCTGTGTATGTTATCACTGTGGGTCTTGACTTGATAATTTTCCCTACCTTTCAGCTACTCATAGTTGCAACCTTCACGGATCAAAGTGTTCTTTTACCACAGAAGAGTATTACAATGGGAGTACTCTTTCCCCTGAGACGGAACACATTTCATATCTCACTGGATACGGTATGGAAAACATTGGTAGAAATTACTGTGATGAACATAATGTAAACCGTGAAATTCTTTAACTCTGCTGAGAGATTGAGACCTAAAGATAAGTCAAGTCTCTGCCGCTTTAGTCCATGACGCTTCCAAATAGCTAAGAATTCTTCCACCATCTTCCACGAAATATTTAAGACAAGCTCCTGTTTTTAGTGAATAGCTACAAATCTATTCAGACTAACGTCCTTCTCTCTAATATAGAATTTTGGGGTTATTGTGTACCAGGAAAACACCAACTCATATCATCAACTCATGCCATCAGTTTTACCTTGAACTTGTATCGTCAGGTTTATCCTAACGTCTGTTGCTCCTGACGATTAGTTATAATAAACTTGAAACATCTGTCGTTCATCAGATAAGAAGATTCATGATGCTCTTGTCCCTGGAACCGTTTCGGCGTGTGTTTTAACTGTCGTGGTTGCTGTAGTCATTATCAGCTGCTGGCACCGTCAATCCCGAAATAAGAGACCCTTTTCACCGATACTAATGTCAGGTAAGTCTAACTCGAAATATTGAGGTCAGCAGCTTTCGGTTTTTAGAGGTTTAGAGCTGAAAGATTACATTTTGGCAGAAAAAAACCTTCCTCCGAAAAAGGCCAGCACTAGTGTTAATGTTATTTTCACTTCGTTCTTAGTAAAAATCTGACTCCAATGAATTTTGAATGTAGAACTCTCAGCTAACAACATATCCTTATTCTTGCTTTCAGAACTTGAATTTGAGTACGATGCGTTGGTTATTTTCAGCTCCCGAGACTCGGATTGGGTAAATAAGACTCTAATTCCAACTCTTGAGAAAAAACATGGATTTAAATGCTGTGTACACTACAGAGATTTCGTTCTTGGAGTACCTTATCGTGAAAATATGGTCAACAGCGTTTACAAGTCTAGAAAAACAATAGCTGTCGTGTCTAAGAACTTTTTTATTAGCAATTATTGTGGTTCAGAAATGGAGTATGCCCTCCATCGTCTGATGGAAAGGAGAGATGATAGTGTAGTCGTTATTAAACTCGATGACGTAGAAAGAGCAAAACTTCCTAAGGAGCTACAAAAAAGGAGCTATATAGACTATCCGAACAATGCTGAAAAGAATCACTGGGAAAGAAAACTGGTTAATTGTCTAACGATCCCCAACTATCCGTTACCTATCTCGACCTAACTCACATAATTTTTTTAATGCTCTGCTTCTTAGTGCCTAGAGACATGGCTAAAACTGCAAGGGCGACGTCTAATAAAAGTCACATAAAATTAACTCAGTGGAAACGCATAATAGGTTGGAATACTAGGTCGGGTAATAAGAATCTCGGTGAGTAAAAACTTTGGTAAAAAGAATTTAAAAAGTTGACACTGGCTCGGCGAGTGTAGTTCTTGGCTGCTTACTTTGCATGTGAATCGCTTTAAGAGACTCCGGGAGATGCTCCCAAAGTCCATAGTATACCGCAGAACCAAGAAGAGAGGTATGATGGTGGTTTTCCACTCGGGAAATAAGGAAACTCGATCAATCGATGTATTCAAAAAATTTTGGTTTTACTATGTGAAAAATGAATATTATTAAATAGATGATCAATCCCTTCAACGGGGAGTTTAACAGATTGTTTTGTATTTTGTGATACAGCTCTCTGGGGTTATTTGTGTTTGACGATTCCTCACAACTTCAAAAATTATTTTTAAGATCTTAATCTGAAAGGGTATTTTGTGCAGTCGATCCTTTGCACGCTATCCCGTAGCTGACACTCAGCAGACCAAGATGCTTCCAAATTAATTTTCTTTGTACTTGGAAGCTCAAAATACAAGTTTCACACAGTCCGCTGCAGCATCTGTTACAGCTAAAAAGTATTGGCGAGAACTGCAAACAATCTCTACCCCTATAATTGTTTAAAGCGCGAACGCTTTACACTACTTTGTAAAACCAAAGGCTGAATTGGATTTTGTAAAAGTGACATTGAGGTGACCCCTATAAAAAATTACCCCTTTGAGATATGGGATACAGACGGATGGCTGTCTCGATGTTTGTAGCAGGGAGGTTCAACTGTAGCGAACGTGTTGTATACTAAAGAGTGGGATTTTCAGAGCGCAGTTTAGCATTGCTAAAAATTTTTGCCGCATATTTACTAAAAAAGTGGTGAGTTTTGGTGTCTTCATCACTTAAACCTTTGGAGTGATAAACATCTAATTTCTCCTTACAGTATCACCCCTGAATCGAACACTATGGTCAGGAGAATAAAAAAAATTGATCGCAAATTGAAGAATCTCTTGATAGTTCGAAAAGTTCTCTGTAGGAAATGTGCAGGGAACAGTATTCTGTGGTAACCTAGGGTGTAAAGGGTTAAAGTCGCCGAAATTTGTAACCATTTCTGGCGTATTGTTCGTGCTAAAATCTTTCAAACAACTGTAGCGCACTGACTAAGCTACAAAATGTCGCAAGCTAAAAATTGAAATCGACAAAGTTGTAGATACGATCGGAATTTATTTCAACTTAATCGTACTTTTCATTAAAAAAATAATTCACACCCTACCATAAATATCTTGAAAGTGAAAAAAAAAAAAAAAAAAAAGAGAGAAGTTCAAAGTATATATAAGGATAAGAACGACCACATTTTCCTTCAGCTTCTCAT